GGGGCTCCTGGCCTTACTACTAGGAGCAAGAACGCTACTAGGGGCTCGTGGCATCGCAACTAGGAGCAAGAACGCTACTAGGGGCTCCTGGCCTTACTACTAGGAGCAAGAACGCTACTAGGGGCTCCTGGCATCGCTACTAGGAGCAAGAACGCTACTAGGTGCTCCTGCCACACACGCACACACACACATTCAAGATTTGGGGTGTACGATCTGAAAGCATGGTAAAGACATGGATGTTGACATGTACATCCCCTCCGCATGTTGATCATTGCAGGTGGTCATCATGCACACTGGAAGCTCAGGCGGGACAGCGTATGTTTTGAGAATGTCCAAAAGCATTCGTCCAAGATCATCCAAGTAGTTCAACCTTTGTGAGTCTCCAATCTGTGTTTGTGACAGCAATCTGCACTCTTGAGGTGCAACGAAGATGTGCCAGAAGCTTCTGGGTGCTTTTGTTGGTGATGTTTTTTTCTTAACATTTGCTTCAACAAACTCCTTTTGTGTGTTGCAAGTGCCCTTGCCCACTCATCCTTGCCGTCACTTTTTCTACATGACAAACAATGATACTAAGGCTTTTACAAACCTCGCCCACAATGATTCATGAGAAAGTGACGCCTTCCCAAACAGCCGATCGCCTTGTGACTGCCATGTCGCTTGGAGTGATTGGCCCTTGGCGGCTGTTGGAGGTTGAATGAGGTTGAGGGAACTTGATTTCATGTTGTTCATCTTGATTTTTGTTCTTTGCCTTGTAAAGGTTGTCTATAGAGTTCTAGTTTGTTTTTTTCTCGCACGCCTCCCACAGCATGTGATAGAATGAGTTGAAAACTTCGGCAGAGAATCAAACCCTGCAGACCGTTGACTTGACCTTGATAATGTAAGACGTGATCTCGATGCTGTGTTGTCAGTGCCTGTAAAATGTTGTCAACACTCCAAGTGATGTTGAGCGAGAACCATGTTGAAGGATATTATGATGTGCAGTTTCATGAAAGGGGCGACTTGCTGATTTTCTTTGATCCTGATGCAGTTTGCTTATGGTCTGGGCCGAGGGACAAGAAGCTGCAGGTGCCCCCTCTAACCTATGTCTTGAAACCCTTCACCCAGCAGGCAGGGCATTGGTGATAGGCTTCCTTCCTTCCTTCCTTCCTTCCTCTGCAGAATTCGAGCGGTTCGGTTCGTCTCTCAGGGCCTGGTCGACGTGGCAGTGAATCACGAACTGGAGCTGCAGTTGGGCAGTGAGGCCACCAAGCATCGGGTGGGTCATGATGGCTTGCTGTGGGTGGGCAAACCATCCTCCAAGCCCAAAGTGAGCGTGAAACGTCCGGCGCACGCTGGCTTGGATGAATGGTGGGAGCAAGCCGCCGAGGAGCTGTGCAGAGCATGAGAAACGAAGGAATCAATAGCGCTTTTTTCTTGATTGGCGATTTCACGATGGCAGGAACCAGTGGAGTTGCCCTACAGTTTCGATCCGGATGCGATCTACACGCTCACAATGCCCCTCAAGAAAAAGGAGGTGCAGATGGACACGAACGCAGGGAATGCAGTTTGAGAGCAAAGGCCAGGACCTACTTTCCGCGTAAACACCTGACAAAGGCAAGGCATGGCCAAGCCAGTCTGAGCTGCAAGAGGTGTTTGGTTGTTCAGCAAAAGCCGGATATGTTTCACAGAATGCCAGACTAAAGGAACTTTGGCATTCTTGACACTGATCTATGGGGAAGCTTGACCCGACGTGTATGGCAAGACGCTTGCGGACAAACGAGGTCCCTTGAGCTGTTTGTATGCAAAGGAAGGAACTGAGAAGAAACATGAGGATATCCTTACGAAAGCCAGCCGATAGCCTCGCCCATGGACGCCCCACAGAAATCTTTGCTCACTGTTCGGCAATCGCAGGATCATAATCTTTGCTGTAGACTTCCCTCGATCTGCTCTTGGCGGCGCGAGTTTATGATTCCACCTAACACGCAGGCAAGCGCCCCCCCAGTTCCTCGGGGTGACCTTTTTCAGCTTGAACACGCCCTTGAACCAGGAGGAAAAAGGGCACCCCCGCAAACCTATATATTCTACTTTCTATTCCTATCCGCTGTCAGCATGGCTGCAGTGTCTTTACTCTTCGCCCGATGTTAGCCAATCACTAGATCATGATCTTGCACGCCAAGTCTTTGAGTCCATCTACAGGACACGACACAAATAACGAACAGCGGGCAAGTGCCCGAGTTCCTTAGCGGTGCCCTTTTTTAGCTTCAAAACGCCCTTGAACCGACCGAAAAAAAGGGCACCACCCCCTAACCTATGTTTTCTATTTCCAACAGCAGCAGCGTCACTGCAATGTCACAGCCCCCATAACAACGGTAAGCTCTCCAAAGTCACACACACACATACACTCGCGTAATCTCGGCAGTCCACTTTCCTCAATCCACTCTTAGCAGCACGCCGACTTTATGAGTCAATCTACTACGCAGAACAAACAAACCGCTGGCAGACGCGCCCCAGTTACTTAGAAGGTTCTTTTTAATCTGCAAAGCGCCCCTTGAGCAACAAGAGCACGGGCGCCCCACTCCCCACCTGTGAATGAAAGCCTGTCATATTGGCCTTTACTCAAACTCGCCACCTCTGCCTTTACTTCCCCATTCCTGGCAGCGGTTCCGGTGCGCTCTCGACTTCATCCCCGTTGCCATATTCATGTGTTCTTGCGGAGGCTGGCTTTCGTCCCCCCTTCTCACGTAATCATTTAAGGGAGGAGAAGGGCCTCTTTGAGCATGAAGGAGATGAACGAGATGCTGTTCTTTGATCCTTTCAGCGTGCGTATCATGGTCTTCTACTTACGTTCGATCCTTGTTTTGTCCAGTGAAGTGCTCAGCATCCATGGCTCAAACCAGGATGCTGTTCCCAAGGGATGTTTGCCTGCTATGCTTTAAAGCGACGAGTTCTTTGCATCGCTGCTCTTGCACTGGTCATCACTGCTAGCCTTATTGACCTGGATGCGCGTAAGGATACCAGTTTTGCACCTTCAATTCTGGGCCTGTCATTTGGACTTTTGCTCGGGATCATTCACATTCCTGAAGCGGGGGTGGTCCGGGACGTGCCCTGGAGTTGCAAGCTGGCACTCTGCAGCATACTGGCGATCTTCACCATTTATGCTGCCACCTATCCATGGCATATGCTTCCATCTCTTGGCGCTCACAGGCATATGGGAAAGAGGCTCATCATGCTTGTGTCCATGTTGGTGAATGCTGCAGTCTACATCCTGTGTATTCTGAAGCAACATCCTCCATCCATTTATGCGCACGATGCCAAGTGGTGTATTTTTGGCATTTGGCTATCGTCCATGGCTTATCAGCTGTTCGAGGCTGCCTTGGCCTACAATTCCAAGATTGTTCAAGACTTTGCACTGGCCTTTGCGATCAGTGTCGACAGTGTGGTTCTTGGCTGGATCCTGATCATGTTCCAAGCCCGAATGCAAGTGTTGCGATCTGGCTCCGATGCATGTGCCTATAAGTCCAAGTTTTGGATCTATGTGATGTGCGGTTCTTTCATTGCCAACTCCATTTGCACGGCCATCCAACGTGGTTTGTCGAGTGAAGGTGGCATGATCAGCTCATTGATCGTCAGGTCGATTTTTCTCATCATTTGGATGACTTATGTCATACTTGTGTGTAAGACCCTCAGCCGTGGCCTCTATGTGTTGTGGATGGAGAGCCGGCGAGTGAGAGGACTTCCCAAAAGACAGGTCGAATGGGCAGCACGTGTGTTGCGCTTGGAGCTCTTGATTTGTGCCACCTTAGGCGTGACAACCTTTTTGGTGTGGTCCACCATCAACGTTGTAAAGTACATTGAGTTGATGGATCCACACGAATACAACCGCATCAAGACAAAGGTTTGGTTCTATGTGCAAATCCTTCGTCGTGCGGATGGAGCCTTGAATGCTGTCGAGCTTGCGTTCTTGTCAGGAATCTTGTGGCAAGGGAAGCCTCCAGAAGAGGATGACACAGAGATGGAGACACGCTCCAGACTGCGTGGCTTAACCTCCATGTCAGACTTCCTGGAGGTGGATGAACAACTTCTCTATCATGCAAAGGTCGAGCAGCTTGCGCACAGGGGATTTCACTTGGGGCCCTTGCCTCAGTTGAAATCAGAAGCATCAACCGGTTTTGCGGGTGAGAACACAGGCTTTGTTGACATCAGTTTCTTTGGTGTATAAGCTTGGTTTTTGAGGTAGACGGGAGAAGTTTCCGTTTCCGCATATTTCAAGGTCCACCAAAAGAACCCAGGGCAATACACACCAGGTACGAGTGTTCCAATTTGCAAGGTGGACCCAAGGAATCTATAGTGGAACCTACTCATACCTATATAAAATTATATACTATATAAATTCCAAAGAGCCTTGCGAGCCTCAGGGCCCAGCCGTGACAAAAAAAATCGGTTCTCTTGGCGCTTGTCCCCAGAGGTTCTTACTTCAAGTATAGGAAGAGCTGCATGTGTGCGTTTTCGAGCCTGGGTGCCAGGGTGTCGGTGCTGTTCCAATATAGGAAGAGCTGCGTGTGTGCTTTCTTGATGTGTGCTTTCTTGAGATTGGGTGCTCGTGCTGCTGCAGGGTGCCGCTGCTGTGTGCGCTTGGGAGCTTGGGTGCAGGGTGCCGCTGCATGCTGGTGCGGCTGCAGGGTGCGATTGGGAGCTTGGGTGCTGGTGCGGTTGCAGGGTGTTGTGGTGTGTATGGGAGCTTGGGCGCTGGTGCCGCTGCAGGTGCTACTGCTGTGTGCACTTGGTGGTGCCTGCAGGGTGCCACTGCTGTGTGTACTTGGAAGCTTGGGTCGCTGCGGCTGCTGCCGGATGTGTATGCCCGTGTGCGCTTTGGAGCCTGCGTGGTGGTGCTAGCTGCCAGATGTGCATGACAAAGTGCGCTGGCGCCGTTGCAGGGTGCCGCTCCAAAGTCTATGGCCATGTGGGCTTTGAGCTTGGGTTGTGTGTTGGCTCCGCTGTAGAATTGGATGCTGTTGCCAAATGTGTGCCGCTGCAGGGTGTTTGTTCGTGCCAGATTCAGATGTCCATGGCAATGTGCACTTTGGAGCTCGGATGCTGGTGCCGCTATAGCAAGGCTCGCTGGCCAAATTTCTCTGCGATGTGCGTCTTTGGAGCTTGGGTGCTGGTGCCGCTGCGGGGTGCCACTGCAGGGTGTTGCTTGGCAGATCTTGGCAGATGGGTGTGCGAGTTGAAGCCTGTGTACTGGTTCTGCTGTGCAAGGTGCCAGCCAAATGCCTTGGGTGTTGGTGCCGTTGCAAGGGGCCGACATGCAGGGTGTTGCTGCTAAGATGTCTATGGCAGTGTCAGCTTTGGAGCCTGCGTGTTGGTGTCGCTTCAGGCCGCTGCGGGGTGCCGCTGCCAGATGTTTAAGGCAGTGCGCGATTTGGAGTACTATTTTTGGCTATCTAGGGTCTATGTCTATGCTTAGGTAGGTCTTTAGTGCTTTCGACACCTACTCCAGTTGAGGCGCCTGCTCCAGTTCTGGGAGCAGCTCTTAGATGGTGAGCTGATGCCCAGCTTCGATCCCAAGAGATCCCAAACCAACGACGTGGTGCGCCAGGCCATCATTCCTGGCTCACGTTGCGGTTCGGGGGGCATGGCGCTCGCATCCATTTGGGAGGAGAACGAAGTCTTGCCGCAGAGCATGGTGTCTTGGGCCCAAAGGAATGTTTTTTTTGTGACAGCAGCAGATGCCCGCCACTTGTTAAGATACACAAGCATCTACCGGACAAATGCGGAGTGACGCACTATTCTACTGTATGACCATATGTATTTTCACCCAGATCGAGATTCTACAGCCCCGCTTTAGCCTGCAGGTCACCCACAATTGGACCAACACTTTCGCCCACCTTGTGGGAGCAATGGTGACAGATGCTTTGAAGGGAGACGTTTATGCAGATATTTCTGAGCTGCTGACCCGCCAAGAGGGTGTAGCTGCATTGAAAGAACAACTGCGGCAGAGTGGAACGCTTGAGACCACCTTCTGGGTTTGCGCCTTTTCGGTGAATCAGCACGCCAGCATTTGTGGTGGTTATGGTCCTGAACCTCCCGAGGGCACCCCGGAGTGGAATGCCTGGGACAAGAAGCGGTATGACTCGGTGAGTTTGCAGCGATTCCCTTTGTGTGATTGCCACGAACCCAAAAGCTTTAGTCATCAGGACCCAGTTTGTGAGCTCAACAAATTCGATGACATGATGAATTTTTTGTCACAAAAAATAGAAGACTTTGGCCAGCTCATCGTGATAGACGAACATTTTGATGTGCTCTACAGGGCATGGTGCGTTGCAGAAATCGTTGAGGCCAATGTGCTGAGCATTCCAGCCCGAATTAAGGTGTATTCTCAGGCTGCGGTCGATATCAACTA